AACAAAATTTAACACTAACACCCAACTTAAGGTATTCAGTCAAGTTCATAAATGTGGCTCATTATGGATTTCAATTTCTGAATTTCTCTGCACATATGTTTAACATTTGGGCCAAAATTTGCAGCTGCAATTATAAGAGAGTTAACTACCGGAAATCAAGGGTTGGATGTATTTTTTTTAACATTTAAAAATGTATTAAATGTTAACCAAATGAATTTAGCGTATGGGACATCCTGAATGGGTGGAAAAACGAGAAAAGGAGTGCGAAGATTTGTTGTACTCCATGCTTGAACCCTAAGCTAGTCAATTATCTATTACATTTACATCCACCCATTTTGATAAAGATAATTCATCCAGTTTATTGTTTTGTCCTAAATTTGTTCCATGCCTTTAATAAGAGTGCAAACAAGAGCGCAAATATGAAGGCACACTGTTCACATGGCCCTCATGTCAAACTAACAAGTTTCCATCTCATATTTCACAACTCAATATTTCCATCTTTCATTCCTCTTAAATCTATTAAGTCTCATTTGATCACAATATCCCTGTTGTTGGCATGTTATCTATTAACATTGATAAGACAAGATGAAGAAGGGCAACTGGGGGAAGCCCCTGTGGAGAACAAGTGCCAAAATCGTCCTGTTGGGTCCAATAACCTGTTTGTGCATTGCAAAATTAAATGCAACAAGTTTTTCTTTCTTTATGGCTATGATGCATTCTTTTCAATTGGGCATTATAATATTGTAATGCCCAATTACAAATCTTCATTGTAACTTCAATTTTTGCAAAGATACCTGCTTTGCCCTTCTTGGTAGAACACAATAGTTACAGATTATATATAGGTCTCCATGCACATGAAGGTATTTCCACAAGTATGGCGCTGCCCTTCAAGACCAATTCTCCAGCTATGAACCTAACAAGTTAGGTGTCAGCAAGCTACCTTGATAACAGGACATCTTAGCTGTCCCAGACCTACAAACCTGTGCTTTCCAGCTGGAACACAATTCTGATCAGAAACAGGGAAATGTCAAGCTCAGGGTCATGAGAAATAATTGCAATATCTCAACACACATCCCAGCTAAGGGAAGTTAATATAGCACAGGTAAGGGATTAAATATACCTTCTGTAGTTGCAGGAATTAATTCAACACTAAATTGTTCACATAATAACTCAAAAACCAAAAGATGTGGAAATTGAATGCAGTGAATAGTGTAACAACTAATTAAATCTGTTTGCTCTTCTTCAACAATGTTGCACTCTCTAGCACCATGATAGGGAATGGGAGAGGGGAAATGATCAAAAACAACAGGATGAAGAGCACAAGTGGAGGCGGGAGGCAGAATTCAAGAGAGAAAAACAAATTCCAGATAATCGGACTAGGCAACTTTCTGAAAGGTAACCTCCCATCTGCTTCTCCAGAGTCTTGAGTAGACTAAAGTAGAGTTTATGCACACCATATGATTGGATGGAGGGAAAAATAAAGAGAGAAGTGGTACATTGGCAGTAGGTGTCCATGGTCAGGGGAAGGAGGGAATCTGGACTGCACGACTGAACCAACTGTTAACATTGCACGACTGAACCAACTGTTAACATTGCACGGCAGAAAGCAGTGCATGACTGTATCCGGAGCAGTATACCTTCTCTACTTTTCAGAAAAGGTCTAGTGAAGGCACTTTTCTGATCCACCTTGGGATCAGCGCAGACATTCAGTGTGTCTTAGTGCTAGAACCCTTGCCGATTTTCAGTTTTTTTTAAAATTAATTCTGAATTATGAGATGGCAATGACTTGTGGGCTTTGGATAGCTTGTGGTAAAAGGAACTGACCAAACAAACTTCTTGATTGCTTAAGAGGCCAGACCTGGAGGTTATTTGTAGGCTGATTCCTGATTAAAAGCGTTCCGACAGACAAAGTGACCCCAGGAAGAACACTGCATTTAAACAGACAGCAAATGTTGTCTATTAACAAGGTGCTTCTGGTAATTCTGGAAGAGGCCCTTTGTTCAAGCAAATGGCAGGTGTTGAATGGTAATTGAGGCCTTGGGAACAGTCAGTCAGTCGGGAACTGAAATTAAGGGTTTTATTTGAACTATATTGAGTTAGTTCTTGGTTGTTGCTCAGATCCCTGCCTGATCTGCTACACCAGCTTCCAGAAGCCCAAAGCGTGGAAAGCTGAGTTAGAAGTATTGAGCTGGGGTAACAAAGCATCAGAGGAGCAGGAAGTGTCCCGACCCGAAACGTCAGCTTTCCTGCTCCTCTGACGCTGCCTGGCCTGCTGTGTTGTGTCTGACTCCAGCACCTGCAGCTCTTGCTATCTCTGAGTTAGAAGTATTGCTGCTTTGGCCTGGGTAAACTGAAAAGGTGAAACTAATCAAACTTTCAGAAAAGCATCCAAGGAGTCCAATGTTACGACTGTGAAACAATGCTTCATGAAAGCCACGTAAAGTAATCCAGCCAGTTTTGTTGGCACAGCAGGGAGGCTAAGGCCCAAAGGTAGGCCCTTTGCTCCTGTTGGCTATTTTTTCTTCTTCTCTTTTATCTTTGTTTTCTTTGGGTCTGAAGAGTGGCAGGCAAGGGCGGCAGTAACATCAGGATAAGCTGAATACAGCTCCAGCCCAGCCTGGGGTCTCCCGCCAAGCAAGGAGCAGGTCCCAGGCTGACTGCCCTGGCCCAGACTCTTAGACTAGGCCAAAGAACCAGTCCGCGGTTGGGCCCCAGGTGCCTGAAGGAGGAGAGATAGTGGTTTCCCAGTACAGAGGTCTTGTCCTGGTGTGGTGGAGGTCTCTTCCCCATGTGGAAGTCCTCTTCATCTTCGACACCCAGGTGTTCCAGCAGCCTGGCAGGTGGTCTTGTCCAGGAATTGCAGTCTCAGCCCAGCGTGGCAGTCTTCTTCGGCGGACGCTCCTGGCCTAGAATCCAGCAGCTTGACGCGGCAATCTGGTCATGGAATGGCTGTCTCATCCTGGAATTGCAGTCTTGTCCCAGCTGGGTCTTCAGGGTATTCCATCGTTCCTTAATCAGCTTTTCCCAAGGCCAGGAACCGTTAACTGAATTGTGATGAATTTGGTCTTCATTTACAGAGATAGTAAGAACTGCAGATGCTGGAGAATCTGAGATAACAAGGTGTAGAGCTGGATGAACACAGCAGGCCAAGCAGCATCAGAGGAGCAGGAAAGCCTTCATTTAGCTCTTTTTATTATGTATGACTTCTGTCATTGATGGAGGCGCTGCGGTGGGGTGACTTATAAAACGTTTCAGTGTTCTTTTTCAAGTAAAAGTACACGTGACATTAAATTTCTATTCTATTCTACTTATTTATCCTTTAACCGTGTTTGTTTGTCCCGCTGTCTTTTGTGTGAATGGGAGCTGAGAAAAAACGTGGTTTGCGTTTAAAGCGCAGGCATTGATCAGTTTACTGTGTTATGTACTTTTCACTCTGCTAAAGTTATTGTGCATCTTATAAATAGTTAAGTCGTTTGTTTAAAGTATAAAAGTGGTGTCTGGCAATTAATTATTTGCAAAGACTGGGATTGGTTATTCAAATATCTGGGTAGGAACTATTTGAGTGAGTATTTGGGGGTCTTCAATAGTTCAATTTTACAGTTTTGTGAATATAGAGGTAGTAAAGCTGATTTGGTTCAGCTACTTTTCTGCATTGCAACAGAGTCTCAATCAGGATATCCCTTGTGGGAATTCAAGAGACAATCAACAGGAATGGGTTTACACACTAAATGATTAGCAGTAGTACTGCTTGATAAAAAAAATTTAAGAGAAATCAAGGATTAAACCACAAATTACGGACAAATCACTAGACATGGGAAAATGAGTAGAAGGATTCCATTGATAGCCTCCCCAGCAACAAAATCATAACAGGCATTCACGGTAATATGAACCTGATATGTAGCTAAATGAGTTGGGAGACAACTAAAGCAAACAGTTATCCAATACAGACACAAAAGGTTAGAACAGCACATGGAGAAAATGGGCTGCGAGAGAGGGTCTTGTACTCACTTCAGTGTGCAAAACACCATCAATGGCACTTCAATCACTAAAAACTGAAGATCACAGTTTTACACATGGGAGAATGCTTCTGTGGTCTGTGCTTATAGATGCAAAATTAAAAGCCATTATTTTGCTTCTTTTTAACCTTACATAGCAAAAAGTGCTACCTATGAGATCATTCATCCATATCATTCATGCTTTTTTGGATGCCAAAGTGGTTGCATTTACGATGGTACATCCTGACACTGAAAATCTCTATCGCAGAAACACCTAGAAACAGAAGCAGTACTAAAGGCAGTGCAATGGATTTGCTCAAAAGGGCAGGTTCACCATTAAGTTTAAAATGAAATGTGCTTCCCGCCTAACTGTTTGGTATTTAGTGAACACATCTCAAGATTGAAAAGAGATTTTTTAATTGATATGCAGATAATAAACCTTTGTTTCAAATGCTCTAGCTCTCAACTTTCAGTTGCACACCTACTTAATTAAAAGCAAAATACTCCGAGTGGAAATCTGAAATGAAAAAAAGTGCTAGAAATAACCTAGCAGCACCAACGGTAAGAATAATAGAGTCAATGTTTTGAGTCAAGCATGACTTCTTCAGAACAGGGAGATGGGTAGTTAGCTGCCACATTGTCTGTTTTGGGTCTAGACTGGAGAAGTGATCCTTCCTTGGCACAGAACATTTCCATACACTTAAATACTAACACAGACTATGCTCCAATCGTTTATGGCAATTTTACGAATGATCAACAGGGTATGTGCCTGCAATATCAAGTAAATGCGCATTTAACATGCAGTGAGGGAACCTCAACTGGTTCACGGAAAAAATATTTTGCCGAAATCTAGGAAATACAGGTTATGGGCAAAACCTTTCAGAAATGGTAATGCCTTTGAACTGTGGCTGAATATCTAAGTGTTAGAGATTGAATGGGCTCAGGTTCAACAGTAAAAGTCTAAGAATTCAGTTTACAGACAAATGTAGTCTAAAAATAATTTACCTGGAGGGCTCCAAAAAGATCATACATGTTGACAGGTGGCAAGGAAGCTAGCATATCTTCACCCGAACAGGCTAGGAGAAGAGCTGCCTGCTGCTCTACATCATCTGATGATATGTGGGATCCTGGATTTGGTCCAGCCGTTGTGGGCATTCCAGTAGGAGGACTATGTCAGAGGAATAAATATAAATTAAAATCATATTTATTGGTTTAAAAATATTTTCATTAATACGCAGGATACAATTTTGGATTGAAAAATTATGACATTAAGAAATAAAATAACGTTACCTGACTTGGAACATAAAAACAATTTTTTTTTAAAAGCAGAAATTCAAGTAAATATTTAAAGTAAGAATTATCCAAATCTGTTTACATTGTGTAAGGTTGAAGCATTGAAGCTGGCCAATATCTCAGACACTGCCACAATAGATAAAGTGTAGGGACGAAACACAACTTCAAGCAGTGGGGGAGTTGGCACATTAGCACCCCCACATGGTTAAGATCAGTAATGCTCCAGGTCAGTTGTGGCAGCCAGAGATCATGGCCACAAAATATATATCCCTGTTTGTATGTAGAAACATATTTCACGATAGTTAAGTTGTAAAGAAAATAATGGGTACCAATCCAAACAAGAGTAACCAACAAGTTTGTTAAAAAGATGGATTTAAAGTACAGTCACAAACAAAACAGTGAGGAAGCAAAGAGCCTAGGGGACTAAAAATGTGACCAACATAGGTAAGTGGGGGAGCAATGAGATTTCTGAAAGGTGAATGGACAGGGCAGCACGGTGGCTCAGTGATTACTGCTGGGGTCTCAGTGCCATGGACCTGGGTTTGATTTCACCCTCAGGCAAATGTTTGTGTGGAGTTTGCACATTCTCCCCGTGACTGCGTGGGTTGCCTCTAGGTGCTCCAGTTTCCTCCCACAGTCCAAAGATGTGCAGGCTAGGTGGACTGAGCCATGAGACATTTGGGTCACAGGAGTGGGTGGGTCTGGGTGGGATGCGCTTCAGAGGGTCGGTGTAGGACTCAAACGGGCTGAATGGCCTGCTTTCACGCTGTAGGGATTCAATGGCTCTGTTTTTCTATGACTCTTTGGACATTTGGGTATTGTAGTACTGCAAGAGGTTATCTGGAGGAATCTGAACAGAGGGAAGTTATAACTGTGAGACATTGGAAGACTGGGCACTAATGCAGCTTAACAACTTGACGGATGAGCAGAATTTAATGAGGGGCAAAATGGAATTAGCAGGTTTAAGGATGAGCTGAATTTTATGGAAAATGGGATCTAGCAGGCTCGCCAGGAAAGCAGTGAGGTAAGCAAATCAGTCAAAAATAAAATGCTAAACAATTAAATGAACTGCAAATTGAGAACACAACGATTATTATTGTACTTCTCCAACTCTCAAGCAGCTAAATGAGTCAACAAACAAGGGGTAAATCTGGCTTTCAAAGTGGAAAACTAACAGTGGGTAGCTTTGCAGAAAACTACCAAGCCCAAGCTCTTCTGCAAGACCTGACCTAGCCCACTTCCCATTATTGACCTATTTTGGCTCTAAGGCCAGACTGCCTTTGCAACTAAAGTGTGTCAGATACAGTGGAATGCATAATTATTGCAGAACCTAAGTGTGCATCACTGCCCCTTCAAATGACAGAGCAGCAAGTGAGAGAGTTGGAAGGAAATAGGTGAGCGGGAGGTTTGGGACAAGCTGACCATAGGAAAGGTAAGGTAAAGGTTGTGTACTATGTACCACCGGTATAGACAGACATGCTCCACAGCAAACTACAATGCAGAGTTTTAGGAAAAAAATCATTATTGCTTCAAGTTCTTTGCACTCACTATAAAATGGCACCAATCAGGTCATGTAAGACAATATGTAGACCCCATCTAAAACAATGACAAAGCAGAAGTCCAAACACAAAGTGCTTCTTATATCTACAACAGTAAATGGAATGATACGAAAGGCAGCAACTTAAAACAGATACTTACTGTTCCTGCCCAAGTTTTATCATTTGTTTCAAGCAAACCTTTCCTCCTTAGTGACTTTAAAATGAAATACATAACTCAGCCTATTCTAATAATTTTATTCTCTTTTGGATGAGAAAGTAAGCAAGGCCTTGGTGTAAAAGATCCTACGACACATTTCAAAGGAATGGAGGGGAATATCTCCCATTATTCTGGTCAATACTCATGCCTTAATGTCACTAAACAGGTAATTTAGTCTTTGACCTCAGTGTACTTGTGGAAGTTTGCTGTACACAACTTGGCTGTGGAATTTCCTACGCTACATCAATGAGCACATTTCGAAGGACTATTTTTTAAAAATTCTTTTTAATGGCTTTGAGAAAGTGGTAGCGAACTGTCTTCTTGAGCAGCTGCAATCCATATGCTGTACGGTGACACACAATGCCATTAGGGGGGAAATCCCATTGATTTTGACCCAGTGACAGCAAAGAAATGGCAATATATTTCTAAGTCAGGATGGTGAGTGGCTTGGAGGGAAACTTTCAAGTGTTGGTGTTTGCATGTGCTACCCTTGTCCTTCTAGATGGAAGTAGTCATGGGTTTGGAAGGTGCTGTCTAAGGATCTTTGGCGAACTGGGTATAAAGCTCTTTGGATCATCCAAAGATTATGAAAGAAACTATAAAAATGCAAGTCTTCTTGCATAATCTTCCATAATGGAACTTTGGTTCTGGAACATCAGATTATTTCAACTCTATTATTCTGCTAAACTGAGGAATGAATTACGTGCATATTTTCATTAAAGACAAGATAAAAGTAATTTCAGGATTAATAGTCATATCAAAATCTTCCTGTTGTTAATTGAACGTTACTTTCAGGTTTTCTGTATTTTGCTTTTAACTTTAAGCTCAAACCCCCTTTCTCTGCACTACTTCACAGATTTTCTGAGAAGAATGAAAATGTACATACATATCTGACATTGCACTTACCAGTCAATAATGTTGTTGTAGGCAACGATGCTGTTCTTTAAATATGGCTGGGGATTAACACTACTTCCAAAAGCATACTTAAAATGGCCATCACGTAAACGGTATGACCTCCTCCTGGATATCACAGCTGTCAGAATATCCTTCAGATGATTCTATTGAAAGAAGCACAAAGTCGTGGTGAATGCATTACTTGAAGATAGAGATATATAACCCACCCACTTCCTTCGTAAGCAAAATTTTTCATTTCTTCTTCAAAATTATTTCTGCTTTTATCTGATGTATATTTCCATGGGAAATCGTACAAAGTCACTGACAGATTTTATGGCGGTAAGTCAGAAACAATGTTGTATATTTAGATAACAGAGAATCATTTAGAGATTCAGCTATGGATTCTATTCTGCATCTAGTCTGGATGATTCTTGTGTCTGGAAAGGTTTTGCTTTAGATTTAAACTGCTAAAGAAGTGGATTAGGCAGAATTCTTTTAAAACAAATGACAGCTTTTTACATTAGTTAACTAACTAGTTCCTTGTACAGTGTAAAGTAATAAATAGTTCACATCTGCTGTGCTACGCTATGACACCAAAAAATTCCTAACAAAACTATTCCCTTCTCAGTATGTGGAAGCTTTCTAGCCCAACACTTCAACAGTTCCACAGACTTATTGACCTGAGAGAATCACACTAAGAAATACACCTACAGAATAGTGAATTGAAGTAACTGTTGTACTTAAAAGCAATTGCCAATTAAATATATATCTGAACAATTCATACCAGATATGTGTTTGATCATCGTTCCAATTGTTGGGCATGTCTTACCTTGCTGTACCAAGAAACAAAGCAAAAGCAGCCAAGGAATTTATCTAACAATTAAACTGGATTATTGGAGTAGAACCTAAACCAAAACCCTTTTGACTCAGTGGAGAGTGCATCAATAATACAGCATCACCTACTTGTTAACATTTACATTTTAATCACACTTAATCAATTCACAGAAGTCAACGTGGATTTCTAAAGAAAAAAATTGTCTAATTGCTCTAGCAAAGCAGCAATGAGGCTAATGCTTTTGACATGGCATACATGGAATTACAGGCATTTGATAGAGGGTGTCACAACACACTGTTGAGGAAAGTTGTAGGCTATGGTACAAAAAGGACACTAGTGATGTGAATTCAGAATTGGTTGAGTGATAGAAACAGTAATGTCCAATGAATGTTTTTCAGACTGAAGGAAGGTTTGTTGTGGAATTCTGAGGGGTTGAAATTGGGAACCTTGCTTTTCCTGATACATATTTACGATCTGGATCTTGGTGTGCAGAGGGCAATTTCCAAGTTTGCAAATAACATTAAACTCAGAAGAGTTATAAACTGTAATGTGGAATTCCCAAAGGACATTGACAAGTTGGAGGAGTAGGCAGGTAGGTAGCTGATGACATTCAATGCAGAGAAGTATGAGGTGATACACTTTAGTTGGAAGAACACTAAAAGACAATACCAAATGGAGAGTACAATTCTAAAGGGGTGTAGGGTGAAGTTGGCATAATAGGTAGAGAGAGCAGTAAATAACGGTAGTGTTCTTGGCTTTATTACTAGGGGCATAGAGTACAAGAACAAGGAGATGATGCTGAATTTCCACAAGATACTTGTTAGACCTCAGCTGGAGTATTGGTAAAGCTGTGGGTGCCACATTATAAGAGAGATGCAAAAGAATTTTAGAGACAGCAGAAGCGATTTACTGGAATGGTTCCAGGTACAAGAAAATTCAGCTATATGGATATATTGAAGAAGCTGGGACTGTTCTCCCTGGACAAAAGAGATCTGGAGGAGATCTGATTGAGTTTTTCAAAATCTTGAGCAGACTGAACAGATAGAAGTTGTTTCCATATGTAAAAGAAACAAGAATTTGAGGGCACAGATTAAAGTGATGTACAAATGAAGCATTTCACATCAAGGGTGATGTGAAAACAAAACCTTTTCACACAGCAAATTGTTAGGGTATGGAATGTACTGCACAGAAATGTGGTGGAGGTAGGTTCAATTGAGGCATTCAAGAGGGTTTTCGGTTTTTTTTGGACAGTAGTGATGGCTAGGGATATGGGGAAAGACAGGAGATTGGCACTAGATAATACAGCTGGAGCAAGCATGATGGTCTAAATGACCTCCTTCTACATCATATTATTAATTCTGTGATCAAGTGCAGTACATCTCATTGAACCCTAAACTAGTGGCTGATAAAAGTGTAGTGCATGCGAGTCAATGGTTAATGTACTTGCCTGAGTCACAAGGTCATGAGTTCAAACTTCAGAGTTGAAGTTTAAAATTTAGACCAGCACTTGAAGGCAGTACTGAGAAAGAGGTGCACTGTCAGAGGTATTATGGTTTGGCTGAGACATTAGATTTAGAGCTTATCCACCCATTCAAATAGTTATAAATTATCCCAATCTACGATTTCAGTGAAGAACAGGGTAGTTTTCCCCAACAAGCTGGTTGATGTTTATCCCTCAAGTAACATTACATTAAAAAAAAAGGTCATGATCATTTTACCATTCTTTACAAATTCCTGCGCACAAATCGGTGGCTAGATTTCCTGTGTTCCAACAGTGACTACAATTCAAAAATCAGTTCATTGATGGCAAATTGTTAGTGGCTGTCTGAGGTCATGAAAGGTAACATTTAAATTCAACACTTTTAATTTAAAAGTGTGGTGAAATGCACATGTTAATGACCAATCGATGCAACGAATGGATGTATAAACTGTATTATTTCAACAATTGGATGAAGGGATTTGATAAAGGTTAGCACATGGGCAGCAGAGATTAAGTTTACAGAAGGCAAAACAAAGGAAGGCCAGGGATATTTTGGAACAGTCTATTCTGACGGCAACACAGAATGAGGGTTTCAACAGCAGATGAAACTGAAACAGGAACAACTGGCATCATTATGGGGTGGATGTAAGCAGTTTTAGTGATTGCGTAGATGTAATCGAAAATTTATCTTGAAACTAAATATCTACTCTGATCAAGGAGCTACACACCAGAGGAATATTACAGCAGAAAAAGAAAACAAAACACAAGCCAATTTCATAGCAGTACCTCCACAGCATGCACCACTGCTGTCACTGCATCCTCAGATACATTGTCCAGTCCACATTCATAAGCTGTTACTATCATCCGACCTTCAAGCTGGCCTCTTGTGGGAAGCACCATTGTGTGAGTGCAAAATTTCACATCATCATCTTCTTGCGGATCCTTTGCGACGAAGTGCTGTGCTCCCGATAAAGGATTTTGTGCTTGAAAACGATGCTGGAGGAAAATACATACACGACGCACTAAGTTAAACTACGCAATGCCACTTAAAAGTATTTATAAAGCATAAAAGCCCTCAATCAAAAAGAATTTTTACACATACAAAAGTTGAAAGATTGATTCTTTTGAGCGAACAGTAGCAAAGATCATTCTATGATCATTTTATTTTTGGTTTCACTTTTAAGAAACTTTCATATCGTCTTAAAGCTGTTTATTTTGTTACTCAGACAGATACAATAACAAGAAATGGAGCTTGGACCATCTATTACATTAATAATGGAGGACACTAGAAAAATCTCTTCAAACTGTACACGGTCAACTTCATTATAACTTTAAGAAAGTAAATCAGGTTTGTTTCTGAACCTGCAAACTACATTATAAAATTAACTCAACTGGAGAAGAGAAAGAAGAAAAAAGTTTATGGCATTAATAATTAGGTCAGGGAACAATTTTGTTTTAAGTGATCATATTTAAAAACTAACAAGTATTGGAAAACGTCACATTATAAAGATTTTCCCAAAAAAGAGGTGAAAATGCATGTGCAAATGATAAATTATGATTGATAGGAATAAACACAGCACAACAAAACACTACATCCAGGAGTTCACCTCGGTACTCAATGGATAAACGCTCTGCTCATTGCTGTTTCTTGTTAGGCCTAACTACTGTATTTTGTTGCCCTGATTAAGCCACCAAATTGCTTTGCCCCAGAGCTTCTTCCAAAAGACAAAATAACAGGCAAAAAAAGAACAATACAAAATAAATGTTTACCACAAGGAATAACTCTCAAGATTTTCATTAAATACACAGCAGACCAAACTGGGGGCAGCAAGTTACTAAGGTTGAAAATAACTCACTTCAAATTTTGCACGTAGAGATGGAAACTTTTTCTTATTTTTAGGTTTACTTGATTTGGCAGCAGATGGACTGGTCCACAGTAGAGAAGTGCCACTTTCTATAACAAGAAAAATACAAAAGAAACATAAATTCACTTGTCAAGGAAGATAGGTGACAATATTGCATGCAATGACTCAACTTGTCTTGCAGGTCACAAGGGACATTTTATAAGTTACGAGCAATCACTTCAAAACAATCTAAAAGGGGAAGAATGTATAAAACATGTACTTTCACCACATGACTTAATCAATTGTTAGAAAACTTCTGCCACACTTCCTTTGCAAAAACATCTTGGGGAAGGGAAATAAAGCTGTTCCAGGCTTAGAACTTGTTGTGTTGCTGAGCATGTTTCCTCCCATCAAGTATTCCACCCAAGAGGACAAGGACTCAGGTTGAGTCATAAGCCAAATGATTGGAAACAAGTTCAGTCTCAATCATTTCTCTCTCTTTATTAAAAGACCCTGAAGGACGAAAATCTCTAGGAATTTCAGTTTCCTTGCAAAGTCCTGCACTTCTCCATTTCAATGGCTCTAACGTCTTATTTTCAAGCACAGTAGACATTCACCACACTAGCCAACCAGGAATTCTATTTAGAAGGGGAAAGGGTACACAAGCAGAAATAGTTTTATTTAAATTCAATCTTCAATAAAGTTTAGTTAAAATAGCTTTGGTTACCAGATTTATTTCTAATTTCACTGTCTTATGCTCAATTCCCTTCCTCTTAAACATGGAGGGCATACACTGATACAAAGACCCCTATTCAGGACGAGCAAACTGGAATTAAAACTGCTGTTAACTACAGGAGAATTTTTTAAATTGGTAAACTAAGCATTCAGTTTCACCTGGATAACAGAAACGTCATCTTGGATAATTAAGATATTTCTGATATACAGAGACAACTGAGTATCAGTTTTATTTTTCTGTTTAAAAGCTAAATAGACAAGCTAAGACATTGAGAGTAAATTCCATCCTTCATAAAATCAAAATGAGATTTTTATGTCGTCAATCTGAAAAGCAGACAATGCATTTTCACAGCTGACTTGGGGCGACCTACTTTTGAAATTATGCACTGTGCAGCTGGGAGTGAACAATGGCAACTTCAGAGCTGATCAGCAAATGTTTGATTTTAACACTTATAAAACTTATAAATCTTAATTGTTTTTAAATAAATCTAATACAGAAGGAGGAGGGTTGATTTTATTTTTTAACTGAGATCCGTCTCGATTAAATTTTTAATGTAAAAGATAAGTTGTTAATTTATCCTAGAGCAGTGTTTTTTGAGCAGTGAAACTGTACTACCATTAAGTTTTTGAGAAAGCGTTGTATTTCTTTTTGGGTAGTTTCAGGTCTGTAGATTAAGGTGCAGAGATGGCTTTTATTAGAGTGGTGTGCTCTTCCTGTTGGATGTGGGGAGATTAGGGAGAATTTCCAAGTCCCTGGAGATTATGTCTGCAGGAGGTGTGTATGGATGCAAATCCTATTGGATCGCATGGATTGGTTGGAGCGGCAGTTAGAAGCAATGAGAAATTTACAGAAGCCTGGGGGGTGTGATGGATGACAGTTTCAGGAAGGTAAAAGAAAACCTCAGATACAGTGAGGTTAGTGAGTTACCAAAAGATAGGAGAGGTAGGCAGGAGTTTCCTGTGGCTATCCCCATCTCAAACAAGCATGTTGTTTTGAAACTGCACGGAAAATGGCTTCCCAGGGGGATACAGCACTGACAGCCAGGTTTCTGGTACCAAGACTGGGTCTACTGGTGAGGGTTGTGTCAGGTTCCAAGCAATTAATTGTGATAGGGGACTCCTTAGTCAGGGGCACAGACAGACATTTCTGCGACCAACAGCGAGACATCAGAATGGTGTGTTGCCTCCCTGGTGCCAGGGTCAAGGATATCTTGAGAGGGCACAGAACATTCTTAAGGGGAGAGTGACCAGCAGAAAGTCATTGTACATGTTGGTACCAATGACACAGGAAAAGAAAGGGATGAGGTTCTGCAGACAGAACATAGAAAATTAGGCAGGAGGTTAAAAGTAGGTCTTCAAGGGTACTAATATCTGGATTATTCCCAGTGCCACGTGCTAGTAGCGTGGGAATAGGAGAATAGGGCAGATGAATGAGTGGCTGAGCAGCTGATGCAGGAGGCAGAGATTTACATTTTTGGATCATTGGGGCCTCTCCTGGGGTAGAAGTGATCAGTATAAGGGTGGGTTGCACCTGAGCTGGAAGGAGAAAGAAATAAAGTCCAGAAAACGTGGAGAAATAAACTTTCATATTTTAAAAACCGTTCACATTACCAAAGAGGCCATCTGGGAGGTCTTAGAGAATATAAAGGTGGCTACATCTCCAGGGCCTGATCTAATGTATCCCAGAGCATTGTGGGAAGTAAGGAAGAAAATTAAGAGACCCCTTGCAGAAATATTTGCATCATCTATAACTACGGGCAAGATGCCTGAAGACTAGAGGGTGGCTAATGTTGTACCTTTGTTTAAGAAAGGTTGCAAGGAGAAACTGGGGAACTACAGACCTGTGATCACCTTACTGGGATTGTACTATAGATCCCCCAGTAGTCAGTGAAAAATTGAAAAGCAAATATGTAAGGACACCTCAGATATCTGTAAAAACAACAGGGTTGTAATGGTAGGGGATTTTAACTTTACAAACATAGACTCAGACTACCATAGTGTCAAGAGCTTGGATGGAGAAGAATTCATTAGGTGTGTACAAGAAAATTATTCAATACATAGATGAACCGGCCAGAGCAAGAGCAAAACTTGACCTTCTCTTGGGAAATAAGGCAGGACATGTGACCAAGGTGTAAGTGGAGGAGCATTTTGGGGCCAGTGATCATTATTCTCTTAGTTTTAAAATAGTTACGAAAAAGGATAGACCTGATCTAAAAGTTAAAGCTCTAAATTGGAGTAAGGCCAATTTACGCAGGAATTTTCAAAAGTTGATCGGTAGAGGCTATTCACAAATAAAGGGACAGTTGGAAAGTGAGATCCTTCAAAAATGAGATAACGATAGTTCAGAGACAGTTTATTCCTGTTAGTGTGAAGGGTAAGGCTGATAGGTGTAGGGAATGCTGGAAGACTAGAGAAATTGAGGCTCTGGTCGAGAAACAAAAGGAGGCATATGTCAGGTATAGACAGTTGGGATTGAATAAATCTCTACAGGAGAACGAGGGTTGTACGAGTATACTTAAGAGGAAAATCAGCATGACTAAATGGGGACTTGAGATAGCTTCGGCAAATAGGGTTAAGGAGAATGCAAAGAGATTCAACAAATACATTAATGGCAAAAGAATAACTAGGGAGAGACTAGGACCCCTTAAAGATCAACAAAGCTGTCTATATGTGGAACCACAGGAGATGGGCGAGATACTAAATGAGTATATTGCATCAGTATTTTCTGTGGAGGAGGACATGGAAGCTAGAGAACTCGGGGAAATAAATATTGAAATCTTCAAAAGTGTCCATATTACAGAAGAGGTGATTCAGGATGTCTTAAAACGCATAAAGGTGGGTAGATCCCCAAGACCAGATCAGGCGTATCCCATAATTTTGTGGGAAGCTAGGGAAGAGATTGCTGGGGCCCTTGCTGAGATATGTGTATCATTGATAGCCATGGATCAAGTGCTGGAAGATTGGAGGTTGGTTAATGTGGTGCCACTACTTAAGGAAGATGTTAAGAAAAGCCAAGGAACTATAGATCGGTGAGCCTGACATCAGTGGTGGGTAAGTTGTTCGCAGTGATTCTGAGGGACAGGATTTACATGCATTTGGAAAGGTAAGGACTAATTAGGGATAGTCGACATGGCTTTGTGCATGGGAAATCATGTCTCACCAACTTGAATAGGAAAGGGTTAGAGAAATATGGGGCAATACTGGCAAATGGGACTAGATCAGTTTAGGCTATCTGGTTGGCATAGATGAGTTGGACTGAAAGGTCTGGTTCTGTGCTGTATACCTCTATGGCTCTAATCTATTACTGTTTTGCTACAGATGCCCTGGGCATTGGTGGGACCACATCTAGTGTTGGGGAGGTGGTGGCTCAGTGGTATCATCGCTGGACTGTTAATCCAGAGACCCAGATAACATTCTTGGATCCAGATGTGAATCCTGTCATGGTAGATGGTGGAATTTGAATTGAATAAAAATAGCTGGAATTAAGAATCGAATGATGACTGTGAATCCATTATCAATTGTCAGAAAAACCCATCTTGTTCACTAATGTCCTTTAGGGAAGGAAACTACCATCCTCACCTGGTCTGACTTACATATGACTCCAGATCCACAGCAATGTGGTTGACTCTTAACTGCCCTCTGGGCAATTAGGGATGGGCAATAAATGTTGCCTTGCCAGCAATGTCCTCATCCCGTTAATGAATAATGAATAAAGGAAAAAAATGCATGCGGTTTTGGATCCAGACTGATTCCGGGGCAAAGGGATCATCTTTCTAAGAAAATGTCAGACAGGCCTGTATTCAATGAAGTTTAGAAGGATCAGATTTGATCTTTTGGAATGTACATCATCTTGATGGAACTTGGTGCGGTGGATGCTGAAAGGAAATTTCCCCTTGCAGAAGAGACTACAACTAGGGATTCAGCTGAAAAATAAGGAGTGTCCCATTTAATACAGAAATTGTGAGAATATGTTTTTCTCTCAGATGGTTGGGCATTTATGGAATTCCTCTTCCCCAGACAACAATGGACCTGTATCATTGAATACTTTTAATGCAGAAATAGATAGATTCCCTTGTTAGTCGGGAATCTAAGGATACTGAGTAGCCAGGAAATTGGGTTGAGGCCATAATCAAATCATCCACGATCTTCTCATATGGCAGAGCAAGTTCAAGGTGTCAAATGGTTTACTCCAATCTTATTTCTCCATTACTTACACTTTTGGGTTTACACAAGTACTAGAACAAATAGAATATGAAGACGGTATATATAAATCATTATGCAGAAAGATTAGAAAAGTCGGGACTGCTTTCTTTGGAAAGAAATGGCGGATGGAATATTCCATAGAGGCATTCAAAATGATTAGGGTGCACAAGGAAAAACTGTTTCAGTTGATTTGAAAACCAAAGGGCACAAACTAAGAAAAGAGGCAAAAACATCAATGCGAATTTGAGGAAAAAGTGTTTCATGCAGTGAGTAGTCAGGATAATCTGAAATGTATTGCCCACATGTGTCACAGAGGTAGCTTCAATCCAGGGATCAAGAGGAAATTGGGTTATTACCTAAAAATGAAGTTTCGGGGTATGGGATGAAGGTAGGGGTATGGCACTAACTGAATTGCTCTTTCTTATAGCCAGACAGACAAACACATGCCAAAAAGCCTCTTTCCACACTTCATCATTCATCGCAAAGTAGTTTAGCTTGGCTAGTCAAAGGCCAAGTTGAAATTCTACTCAAGTTCAAAACTGTAGCAATTATTGAAATTGGGTTCATGAAATTTTAGAAATAACCACGATTACTTGATACTCGCTGGATCAAGATCCTGGAATTCCCTCCCTAAGGGCATTACAGGTCAACCCACTGCAGATGTACTGCAGCTGTGCAAGAAGGCAGCTCATCACCTTCCCAAGAGCACCTAGGGACAGGCAATAAATGTTGGCCAGCCAGCAACACCCACATCCCACAAATGTATAAAAAAGTTCGAAATGCAATTTAAATATCTGACTATAAAGTTCTTAAGAATACTTAGAAGTGTCCGTAACATGCCACAGGAAGTCTCTTTGCTATGTGTTTTCTCCATGACTAAATGTTTTTAAGCAAAATTTCTTGGCTCAATGTGTTCTGGAAATTCTGAACAGATCAAGTTGTATTTGGGGAGAGAGAAAGGGAGAAACAGTTAATATTTCCAGTAAGTGACCTTCTTTTAATTCTAAATCTAGGACATTTCACTTTATTTTCCATGAATCAGTTTATCTGTTTGGAGTTTATAGCTTGTGTAGTTTCAAAATTAAAGTCCAGAAAAATTTAACTCGGCAAGAGCAATCAATGAAATTGTAGAATGAAATGGAAAAACAGAATTCAGCAACACAT